TTAATCAGGAGAGTAATAAAAGGGAAAGAGCATGAGAGAATGTTTCCCCCTCCCTTCTCCCAACATGCCCAACCATCTAGGCAGGCAGACATGAACTCTTTCAGATGCACTTTTACATGTTAGCTGCATCCTTCCCTGCCTTCTGCTGTGCTGAGGGGAAACTTCCCACTGGAGTTCAGTGGGTCAGGATGGGAACTCCTGTCTCTTCCACCTTGGCTTCCACTAGGAGGGGATAGCCCTTCAGGTGATGTGTGAAAGACAGGCATGGGGCAAGACAGGCATGGAGTACCAATCAATGAGAAGGTCTGCAAAGAACTGTCCTGAAGTGAGCTGTCTGGGAAAGAGATGGACACTACTTATCTGGGCAATTGTCCTCTTCACTGTAAAAATGAAAGAACAAACATTCACATTTATCCCCCTCAAGAAGCCCTTGTAGATACTGGAGGGAAAGGAGAGAAGTCCTGCTGTATTCAAGCATCTGAGACATTAAAGTTGCAGATCTCATTTTTCTCTCTAGGGTTGCTATTTGTTGCACAAATCCCCTGAGGGTTCAGTGGTAGGACTCCAAGAAGAAATTGCTTTTATCTGTCAGTGGCTATTGTTGATGTTTGGCTTGTACACTCAAACAACTTTGGTAACGTGTCCCTTCGTGTTTTTCAGAGTTAAGCTGCGTGATAACAAGATGAGCACATACTGTGCTGTACTCTGATTCTCGTGTAACATAAGTAAGACAGTGTCAGCCTTTGGCATCTGCAAGTTACAGAGAGTTTTTCAAGCTTATGAAGGAAAAAATAATCAGTGTCAGTTTGCTGCAGATTGTGTGGGAGGACAAGGGAAGAGGAGAAGTGAAGGGGAGGCTATCACCAATACAGAAGGGACCTTTGCAGTATCTGAAGTGAAAAGATGAAAGAAAGAAGGAACAACAAAAAAAGTTGAAATGCAGCATTACCACATACTTGGACAGCACAAGGCATTTGATAGCTGCTGCAGTAAATGGACACACAGACATACTCTGTTGTTGATGTTTGTGCTCCCTCTCCTTGGTTTTGTGCTGAAGAAGCAAATTCATTTTCAAGTGAGCTAGGATGATTAAATCTGCCCCCAGCTCCCCGCCTGCAATCCTGACCCTATGGTCACTGCTAAACTTGGGACTCAGTAAGAGCAGTGTCCTCTGATTTTGACCCTGGGTTAGCTCCTCACAGCAAGAGTGTATACACTCACTCCTGGATGATAGCTTTGCTCTGCAGAGAAGCCTTCACACCACATAATTAGATACTGGTTTTCACTAAGGGAAAACAGATACCTGCACCTAGCAGGATACGTATCATAGCTGTAGTGAGGGATGGTTTCATTCATCAGAGCTGTCTGGGATTAAAAACTGGAAGAAGCCAAAGTGAACAACTGACAGTGCTCAAGGTTGAGCCTGATGTGCAGAACAGCCTGTGCCTGGTCTGAAAAGAGCCTGGCTGGCTTCCTGCAGCAGGCACTTCTGTGTTGCTTACCTTACCTTCAACTGAGAGGAAACAGGCATCACTCAAATCTGTGCTATAGGAGAGGAAACCACGGCTTCATCAGCTGGTGCCTCACAGTAAATGCACTGGCAGTCACAATAAATCACCAGGTAAGGTGTGGGTAGAAATGTGTCAAAGCACACATTCATTTAGGCATACAATGCTACCAGTCATTATGCTCCTTAAAGCGATTTAACTGCAGTTATTAGTGAGCAGACAGTTTTGCTGGACAAGTTGTATTGCCCTGTCAGTAAACACCAGAAGCAGACAGCCTGCCTAGAGCTGGATAAAGCAAACAGTTACTATCTATGGCTCATTAGCACTGTCTCAATCCCTTTCAGTTTGACTTGTTGCTTCTTGTTCCCCTTCTTTCAGGTGATTGTGCTCTCATCTGTACTCCTGACACCACACAGTGCTGTTGAGTTGTTGTTTGCCCCAGACCGTCTCTAGCCTGATGCTCATATCTAAAGGGGGAGGCTGTGGAGAAGATTGAGTGCCTTGCCTGGAAACATCAAGTCCCTGCTCTGTCACTCTTCTCAATAGCCCTCCTAAAACTGATGTGTCAACTGCTGCAATTACAGCTCCAGGTGAAACAGCTGGGTATCTGCCTGCAAGGGAACATCTGTAGTTCATGGGCAGCTCTTCAAAATGGTCCAATTGCCCCCCTCCTTGATGATAGCACTGTGCAGTGCTGAATCACTCCCAGCCTCACTCAGCATGGTGAGGGCGATTGTTTGAAAAAATTCCCTAGAAAAGGAACAGCTGAGAACCAGGTGATGCAAAATTTGCACTCCCAAGTACCATTTTTCCTGATGGTTCTGCTGGGCTTGCAGCTGATGGTAAATGCTGCTGAGAGAGTGAGAGGCTAGCAAAATCCACTGTCTGTCATGCTACCTTGCAAAACGTGTGCCTTATACATTGTTAACAGCCTCTACTCTTACTTTGTCCCTCGCTCCAGAGAGATCATGGAACACAGCCCTGATTTAGCTGGCACAGCAGCTCCCAGCTTGGTGATGCTCTTTTCAGCAGGACTGTTAGAGGTAGGGAAGCAGAGAGCTACTCAAGGGCTGGGTTACATGGCTGCTTCTCTCTCAGCTTTCCATTTCCTGCTCTACTTTTTCTACCCACAGTCCCAGAAGAAAAGACGGTTTCTGATGGCACACACTGTATATTTACACAGGAGGCCATATGGGCTGTGATGGTTTGATGATAACCCCAAAAGAATCCTACCCTCACATGCATATTTAAAAAAAAAAAACAAAAAAAGGGCATGATCCCATTTTCAAGAGGCCACAGCAGATTCTTTCTCAAGATAGATTTCTGAGCAGCATGATTTGAAAACAGCTTTTATTTTTAATTTATAATCATGAAAGAGCTTCAATCAAATTCAGTTACACAAATTTCTTCATAAAGCTTTGCTACAATCTGTGATGAAAGAGCAGCAGCTAATAGAGATTTTAATTGCATATAGCACCCAGATTTTTGAATTGCAATATAAAATGGTGGAGCTCTAAAGCTGAATCCTCTTGCTTCATCCAAGTAATGCTACAACTCCAGCTTACACTGAGATGAGAATGTCAAATCAAGTGACATCCACTCTATCATAGCATTCTTTATTATGCCAAAGGAGTAGATTAAATGGGAAGCAGTTTTTTAAATTTTGTTCACTAGCTAGCATTAGCTCTCCTAAATGTTTATAATGGTCTTCAGAAAAGGGTGCATTTTGGTTTAAATTCAATTTTGAGTTGCTGGAAGGAAACAATGGACTGATTATAAAGCATGGACAATGTCGCCTCTATGGAAGAGAAATTTATAAGAATGACTATAGAATGGAACTTTGTGTTATAAAAAATGAGAAATGCTATGACATTGCAATATTAAAAGCTTAAGGAATAGTTTGAATAGAGCAACTGGAAAGCAAGTAGTTGGTCTCTTGGTTTTTCTGTCATTCTGTACGGTTCAATCTTTCTTAGAATATGGTTGTTTCATAAATTCTGTAATCAATAAAGCAATGCTCTCCCAATGCCAAACTTGATCAGTCTTCTAGTAGAATAGAAGCATTCTTCTAGTATGCCAGAACTGCATATTCCTGCAGCCTCTTTTACTTTTGCATTATTTAATTGCCCCTGGGAATCTAGACCTTCTATCTTGGTCCTTGAACATTTCCTACACTCTGCTCATAGCAGAAAGGCTTTCCTGTGTTCGGTGACCATTGCTGAGTTCACGTACACCTCTGAGCTGCTACTGCTTTCATGAGTTGATGGAGGCTTCTGGTTGTGGTCTTCACTCCCTCACCTCTCTTTCATCAAACTCCCTCAGGCCTCTGATTTGGCCATCTAAAGACTTACTGTATTGAGAAGGCAGGGGGTGAGTCTAAGTGATCTGGTGATCTTGCACTTCCTCTGGGTCAAGTAGCTCCTTTGACTGAAACAGACTAGCTTTCCAGGCCCACACACACTTTGGAGAAATCTTGTAGGGCCACAGCTGTGGTAATTGATGCTGGAACTCAGCCACTATCTCATACTTAGTCACTTATAGACCAAAAGTACAGTGGAGTCTTTCCAGTGGCCCTAGAGCAATAGTAAGCTTATTTGTAGGAAATAGCTGTAGTAGCTACAGGGGAAAAGGTCAAGGGATCTCCTGCCAGTTCTGTGTGAGTAGAAACAGCACAGAAGAAGGTTGCATGGGCAGGTGCAAGACTACATCAAAGAATGTCTGAGTCCTCAGCCTGCAACAGTGAGCAATACTCAAAAGGTGAGGAGAAAACATAAAGCTACCCTTGGGAAATTTATTTATTTCTCTATTGATAAACTTTTTTGATATAAGCTCAGAGTGGAAGGGCAAGCTCCAGTTTTGTTTGCAACTCTAATCCTAAAGCACTTGGCTAGTAACTCATGGTGCAAAAGATTATCATCAGCAAGACCCTGTCAGTTTCCCTGCATCACTTACTGCAGCTGTGTGCTAACAAGGTGAGCCTGTATGGCCACCAGCCTAGTACCAGCACAAACATCCTCCTCAGGAAGGCTTTTAGTAAAGCTACTTCAAACATGAAAAAGGTAGTTGAAGACTTGTGATTTCATTAAGTTCTTCATGGTGATATAGTTCAAAACATTTATTTTTTTTTAAAGAAAGCAACAGTCACTCAGAATTCATGTTTTTCCAGGTTTTGACCTACCTCACACCATTCCTTTCTTACCGAAGGCCAAAGTATTTTTGACAAGTGGAAATGAAAAATCCCATTTTAATTTTAAAGGCCTTTGCCTTATTCAATTCCTCTCCTAAAAAAATTTCTTTAAAGGAAGTTGTAAAGCACTTGTGAGAGCAAAACCCCTGTGGTTTATGCTAATAAAGCAACAGCATAGGCAGGAAAGGACACCTTGCTGTTTCTGCAGTGTATGTTAACTACCTTAAGAAAGTTATTACTTTGTCTCAACACTTCAGTGGTTGTTACTCCTTGTTTCTCACCCTCAAAGAACACACAAGGAAACATGCAATTCAAAAAATTTAATGTTGTACCAGGCAGTAAGAATGAAAAGCCCACTCCCTAGGAGGAGAAACTGTACACAAAATAAATAAGTTACAGTTTAAACAAAAGCACAACTGGCTTTTTAAAGTGCATGTGTATAAGGCCCTTAGGCTCTAAACTCCATTGGCTCAATATTTTTTAAAAAGTTAAGTATTTATATAAATCTGCCATTTGTTTAAGAACGAAGAGGGCCTGGCTCAGCTCAGAACAAGCCATCAGCTTCATTGCCTGGAGCCAGCCATGCTTCACACCTTTTGCTCTTTTGTGCCTACCGAACAAAGGAGAGAGAGAGAGAAAAAAGCATGTCTTAAAATGGCATCTGTAATAGATTATCACTCCACACACATTCCTCAGAAGCTCCATGTTGGATCATTTAGTCTGGAAAGTACTTTTTTAAGACAGTAAAAGAGTTGTTTGTAATTAGATACGTTTACACCCTGTGGACAATAGCTTTGCATACAAAGATCATGGTCAAGTTGTCAGCAATAACATGGCTAGTAAAAAATAAAGGACCATTGTTTACAGTCTTGATGCTCAGTCCTGTCCACTTATTTTACACTTATTTTTACAGAACCGTTTGATGTTTGCTTATTTGTTATGAAATACACACCAAAAAAAACAGTTCTACTGTGCAATAAAATTAAACAGTTGCATCATGCTGTTCTTCATCCATGTGAGAACAAAACTCAAGTGGTTACTTCTGAACAGGGACCTGCAGTTCAGGGCATTTTCCTGCTCAAGTGGAGTTACAGCAAAAAGGTTGTTTCTGCACAAATGAAAGCCAAATCTGTCCAGCTGGGAAAAAGGCAAATTATTTCATTTACTGAAACGTTCACTTTCCAAATGAAAATACCTGTTCAGCAAGTCACATCCTAGAACTTTTTCAGGAGGTTTTAGTTGGTTTTTGTTTCCTCCTTTTCTAATCTGATACTGTTCCTTTTTTAAGCAACTGCGTAAAGACTTCTACCATTAAAAAGGCTACTCAAACCATCCTCCTTGCACAATGCCTTGGATTCTACATCTGCCAGTGTTAAAAAACCCAGGTTTCAATCTCAGGCTAACTGTTGGGTAGACCAAGGGCTGTGCCGTCAAACAGAAGTGACAGTCCTCACTTTGGCAGACAAAGCTTGCTTAAACCTTCTCTTCAGATCCTGCATGTTGGGTGATTTTGGCCGTGGAATAAGAGAGGTTCTCCTCCTCTCAGGGGTGCTGGTTATTTGTTGTTTATTGACTTCTTTACAGAGGAGATGGAAGGCATTAAAGACGTTGTTATAGTTTTCACTGACAGATACTTCATAGAAAGTACAGCCCAGCATATTGGCCAGCTGAAGTCCCTGCTGAGGCTCCACCTCTTTGATATGCAAGAGATCAGCTTTGTTTGCCACAATGACCACAGGGACCATGTTCCCTGGATGCAGCTGTCGAACATGATGGTAGAGGTGACTGAGTAGTTCAAAGCTCTTATAGTCAGTTATGGAGAAGACAATCACCAGGGCATCTGCCCAGCGAATGCATCTGTTCAGCTGCTCATTACAATCCAGACTGTGTTCATGGATCTGAAAAATGAATGGTCTCAAATTAGATAGCTGAAGTCACAAAAGATTAAAGGAACCTGTCTTCAAGAGTCTGTAAAGCCAAATAGCATTTTACAGCTTCAGACATATATTTGGATTTCACATAGTAAGTATGAACTTAATCTGAGCATAGTGAATAAATGCAGATGTTGATTCAGCTGCAAAAAGCTGGAATTTAACACGAGTTTGCTGTACTCAAATGGAAAATTGACCTGAGTAGTTCTGCATGCAGAGAAAGACTTTGTAGTTCCACAGAATGGGAAATTAACTGGCTAGACAGTAAGTCTGGGGAAGCAAAGATATGAGCTGGAAGCATTTAGACCTGGAGTTTTGCCCAGTTCAAAAAGGCAACAATCCAGCATTACTCAGGTCTATACATTCAAAACTTTTAACTTGTGACACAGTAATGAGCACAGCCACAATGTAGCAGATTTCACTTTGTCATACACATTTATGAAGCTTGTTGGGTAGCAGTCACGACATTTATTTTCTCATATACTATATTTCACATATACCAGTTTGAGTTGTTTCTGGGTTTATGCCTAATGTTCCCAATATACAGGAACGAGGCACTTCAGTAATTCAGCCGGTCAAAAGTAATGGGTCTCCAATGAACAAATGATTCATTGAAACAGTCTCTCAACACAGCTGGCTTGACTGGTTAAAATACAAGTTACCACCTCTCTCACACAAAACACCAAACTCTGAAATGGAGCAAAATAACTTACAGAAAGACCATAGCAAGACGCTGCACGAAGGGATGCAAGCACACAAACATTTAGATCTACTCTGGTAGCATGGTTGCATCTAGCTCACCTGAACTCCTGGAGTATCTTGCACTTGGATGGCCAACATCTCTCCATCTACCTGGATGTGCCTGCTGTAGAGATTACCTGACAAGAACACCAACAGGTTCACAAGTACAGTCACCACTCTACAGACAAGTGTTGCTTTTGCTGCCCATTAGTTGTGTAGGGAAAGCCATATCACCACTCACGAAGCAAGAAGCCAGTGTTACAAGCTTTTTAGGTGTTAACAGCATTTACGATATTACTAGAAACATGGGATTAAATCATGAATTGACTTGTGTTGGAGCTGGGCATTAAGTGGGAGGCAACTTGGAACTTAATCGTTCTTAAAGACCATCTTATCTGGAATAATAAAGGTAAGAGTGCAAAATACTCAGCTTTCATTACATAGAAAAGCAGTTTTCTTGTCATTTAGTATTTCCACAATTTAGTGAAGCTCCCTATCAGCTGGCCTGTAAGATTTTCTGGGTTGGTGTTCTTTTTTTTCATGTGTTTGGCTTTTTCAAGTAATTTTCTCAACAGAAGGCTATATTTTACATCGCCATTAGTTTAGACTCCACGCTGTACTCATTGAATGTGATCCATAATATCACCTCTCCATTTTCCTCTCTAAACTGGCCCTGCCCAGCCACATAGCTGCTGGCACCCACTTTGCAAAGAACAATACAACAGTAGTTTTACAGGATGTTTTCTTGCTTTAGCTAAAAGGCCCCTTCAAAGGGGTACTTTCACCACATAAAGCAAATTCTGTCAGGGACCTGCAGTACAATCCATCTCTAGTGTTGCTGCGACCACAAACCGCATGTGGCTGCGTCCGGCGTGCCCCTTCCGAGAGCTGCGAGCAGACCGGGTAGGGAGGCGGCTCTCAGGGAGCCAGCAGCCGCCGAACCCTGGGCATTCGTGTCGCTGGCAGCACCTGCCGAGCGCCCCGCAGTCCCGGGGGCAGCGAGCTCTTCCCTTCCCACCTCTGCCCCGGCTCGGCGCTGGGGTATGCACACTCACTCTCAGGGCTTACACCCCGCTCCCCGCAGCCCAAGCACCCCCCACCCGTCCCCCATCCCGGCGGGAGCGAAGGCGAGCCGCCCGCCTACCTGCGTTCCGCTCATAGTCTCCGATGAACCGCCGGGTGAGGAACCGCACCACGAGCGCTGCGGGCAGGCACAGACAGGCACCATTAGCCGCGCTCCGCCGCTGCCAGCCCCCCACCCGCCTCGCCCCGGCCGCTGCCCCCCTCACCTGTCTTGCCCACGCCGCTGCCCCCCACCACCGCGATCTTGACGAGGCGGGGCCGGGCGGTGGCGGGGCCGTCGCCGCCGGGCGCGCACTCGGCGATGGTGCACATGCTCTGCGTCAGGCGCATCCCGT